TGCTGGTATCCAGTTGTCTCAACTCTATTTGTTGAAAAGATTATTCCTTCTTCATTGAATTATCTTAGCATCTTGTAGAAAATCAACCAACCACAAATGTAAGGGTTTATTTCTGGAGTCTCAGTCCTATTCCATTGATCTATAGGTCTGTCTTTATGCCAGTAAAACACTGTGTTGATCACTGTAGCTTTGCAGTAAGTCTTGAAGTCCAGTGTGAGTCCTCAACATTTTTATTCAAGTTTTTTTGGAGAGAGCTATTCTGGGTCTCTTGTACTTCTATATGAATTTTAGGATTAGGGTATCAATTTCTGCAAAAAAAAAGGATGAGATTTTCATAGAGATATTATTGAATCTATAGATTAGTTTGAGGAATATTGCTGTCTTAACATATAAAGTCTCTGATCAATGAATACAAGATGTTTTCCCATTTATTTAGGCCTTCTTTAATATCTTTCAATAAGGATTTATGGTTTTGAGTGTACATGATATTGTAAGTAGAATTCTCTTCTTAATTTCATTTGTGAATTATTCATTCCTAGTGCATAGGAATACAATTGATTTTTAAATATTGATCTTGTATCCTAAAACCTCACTAAACTTGTTGATTAGCTCTAATAGTCTTTTTTTTTGTGGATCCTTTAGGATTTTTTTTTACATATAAGATCATGTCATTTCTGAATAGATATACTTTTACTTCTTCCTTTCCAATCCAGGTGCATTTTATTTCTTTTTCTTGCCTGATTGCTCATGCTAGAACCTCAAATACAATGTTGAATAGAAGCAGGAAAAATAGAAATCTTTGTCTTGTTTCTGATTTTAGGGAGAAAGTTTTAGTCTTTTATCATTAAGTATGATGTTAGCTATGGGTTTTTTAAAAAAATAGGTAACCTTCATCAGGTTGAATAAGTTCTCTGCTATTCCTAGTTTGTTAAGTGCTTATCATGACAAAGTATTAGATTTTATCAAATGCTATGTGTAGGTGAACCATGGATGGCTTCACAGCAGAGATGACATTTGAACTCGGTTTCAAAAGATGAATAGGAGTAAGCCAGGAAGAGAAAAGAATACAATATGGAATGGCGTGACCAGAAAGGAGAGAGCATATTTGAGAAAACAAGAATGATTTGGAGGAGCTAAGAGGTAGGTTGAGAAAGGAGGAGGTTACTATAGACTGTGTGTTTGTGGACTCCTACCTCCACCCAAATTCATATGTTGAAACCTAATCTCCAATATGATGGTATTTGGAAGTGGGGATTTTGGAAGGTGATTAGATCATGAGGATAGAACACTCATGAGTGGGACTAATGCCCTTAAAAAAGAGACCCCAGAGATCTCTCTCCCTGCTTCCACCAGGTGAGGACACTGAGGAGATGGACACCTGTGAACCAAAAAGCAGGCCCTCACCAAATACCAAATATGCCAGCACCTCGACCTTGGGCTTCCCAGTCTCCAGAACTAAGAAGTAAATGTTTGTTGTTAAGCCACTCACTCTATGATATTTTTGTTATAGCAATCCAAGTGGATTAAGAGGGGTTAAAGAGAAAGCTAGAGAAAACATAGGTTGGTGCTGGGTTATGGAGGGTCTTCACTCCATATTACGGAGTTTGGGTTTTATCCTATGAACAGTGGAAGGACTAAAGAATTCTGAGCAGATGACTGGCATATTTTAGGAAGACCATTCTGATGGCAAATTTTTGAGGGAATTAAAATGAGTAATATCTGATCTTAGCAGTTTAGGTCAGAGCTGGTGAGGGCCTGAAGTACTGCGGTGGCAGCATTGACCAAACAGGAAAGAAGAGTTCTGCAGCTTTCTGTCCATCAACCTTCAATCATTTACGGGTTTTTTTCCCCTCCTAAAGAATACATTCCTTCACCAGGTTTTAGAGGCCCAATACAATGAAATCCCAGCCTATCTTGCCAGTCTCGTTTTCCACCATTTTTTTTCCTTCTACCACACTGGGCTAGTTATCCTTCCTAAGACTTATTCTGCCTTTTCTTAACTCTGTGCCATTATTCAAGCTGTTCTGTTTCCTATCTCTGTATAGTCATATCTTAGCCACCCACAAATCCTACATTTCCCGCCCCCAGTCCCTGCCAGTTTCCTCTGATTTCTTCAGTTTTACTAGAGAAGAAAAAGCATAAATTCTGGAACATGAAGGTACAGGTTTGAATATTGGCCCTGCCATTTACTTTATGTACTTACTTACCTCTGTTTACTATCCTCACTAAGCATGTTTCCTAATCTAAAGTGCGGAGAATACCTATCTTACAATAGCTTCTTAATGAAATTATAGTATAGAATGTTACTCAGTACTAAATGTTAAATGCAAGTTAAATGATTCAAAAACTATAACTCAATATGTAAATGATAGCTACAACAGTAAATCACAAAATAGCATTTTTATTTATAAGTTTATTCCAGTTATTAGGATATCCTGCCTTATGTTATCCTCATTTGTATATGTTGTATCGTCTCAAGTAAACAATGATCTCCTCAAGAAGAATCATGTCTTCATCATTCTGTGTCTTCCAAAGTACACACTATACAACCTTATATAGGGAAGCAACTGATAAGCATATATTGAATGAGTAAATAAACTGATGGTGAGAGACATAGTGAACATTTAGGGTTTATTTTTGGTTTTCCAACATCTGAAACCTCTTTCTCTGTGTGAATCTTAATGGGAGACAGGGTCCCACACCCCCCAAGAGAAGCCAAAGATACTGTACCTAAAGTTCCCCGCCCCCCCCCCCCCCAACCTCCTTGCACCGAAAGCAAAGGCAACATGGTCTAGGCTTGGTCATTTGAATGCTCCCACCAGGACTTTGAACCTTGAACAAAGAGTGTAAAGACACTGCAGTGGAGTAGAATTCATTTAAGATGGCAGCCTACAGTGATGAGGGAGGTAGTGGTTCCAGCCGTAGTGTCCTTATCTCAACCGCCCCTTTGCTGTGACTTTGGTTGTTGTCCCTGGTTCTATCTTCTGAGCTCTCATTAGCTGGCCCTCCCATCAACTCTGAGGAATTACTCGATAACCTTCGAATATATTCATTTCCCCCTGCATTTGGCAGAGTTGGTTCCCGTTGCCTGCAACTGAGAACCTTGGCATAACTTTGAGGTAAGGGTGTAGAATGAAGGAGAAAGCAGGGGTCTTTCACTTTTCTCCTGGTAAACTTCTATATTGCTACTGTCGTGGTATTACTTCTGTCATTTAAAAATATGCTTTTAAAATTATCATCTAAAGCAGAGTTGGGCAAAAAGAAGTGGTAAGAAATAAAATTTGAAAATTAGGATGGAGCCAGGTGGTACAAATTCTTAAATGTCATTTTGAAGATTCTGAATTTAGCTCAGTAAGTATGGGAAATTTATAAAATAGAACAATGATATGATCAAATCGATGCTTTAAAAATTGTTATGTAGAGGATGAGACAAAACTCAGAGAAATTAAAGACCAGGAGAACAATTAGGAGGAGGCTATTGCCATAGTCCAGATGAAAGATTGTGAAAATTCCTCAGCTGCTGGTGACAGAGTGAGGTTGTCCATCACAGGGTGGGTTTTTTGGGAAGCAGATGCTGAAACAGAGTTTGAGGTGCAAGATATTAACTAGGGGGAGGAAGCAGGATTGAATAGAGGGTAAAGCCAAGCTGCCATGTAGATCCGACACAGACCCAGCCAACCAACCTGGCAAGGGGCTCTGGAGTGAATACTGCTCATCAGAATTGTCCTGAAGTAGGCCAGAAAGGCTGAACCTTTTTATACCCCAGCTTTGCTCACTCATCAGATGAGGATGGCCCTAGGATGAGCATGACCTTGTATGGGACTGTTCTCTGTAGGTGAGGTAGACACTGAAGCAGCAAGAGGCAATCTCCTGGCTCTGCTCCCTGTAGCTGAACAGCAAGTCTCTCCTCGAAGGTAGGACCGGGTGGCACACCCCCATGCCTACCATAAAGAAATAGATGCATTATGATATCTGGAACAAAAGCAGGGGAGTGGGAAGGAGGGAATAGAAAAGTCTACAGATATTGTATTTTATAGATGGAGGATGAAGAGGGAGTAAGTAAAGGGTAACACTGAGGTCTTTATGTTGGTATGATTTGATGGTAATTCTGTTTGACTGATAGTAAACAACAGAAGAGAAGGAACAGGTTTGGGGAGAAAGGTCTGGCATTTATTTTGAACATGTTGGCTCTAAAATGTCTGCAAAATATTAAAGTAGCAGTGATTTTCAAGAATCAGTGCCTATGGGGTGTCTGGAGGTCAACAGCAAGTGCTGCACAGGGTGTGGCAAAAGTAGCTTCATAGTCATTCATATGGAAGAGAATACAATAATTCATAAATAATAATACAAGAATAAATTGTGTTTTACGTACTCACAACTATAAACTTACTTTTGCCCCACTCTATATTTATTGAGTATATATACATTGTATTTTTATTTAATATGCATAATGCTTCTATGAGGTATAATGCCTCTATGAGGTATTGTACCCTTTTTGTGTATTTTATCACACCTGTTTACAAAGAAACTGAGACTCAAAGAAGCTAAAATGCCTGGCTCAGAGAAGTAAAACTCAAGTCTGTTTCTGGACAAAATACATACTGTCAAAGACAAGAAATCACCACAGACAGATGGTATTTGGAGCCGTGGAAGTTGGTAGGTCACCCAGAAAGGTACAGTTTAAAGGAGAACAAAAGGAACTCCAAAATGGAATTCTAAGGAAGCTAAAACATAATGAAGGAATTGAACAGTTTCTAAAACTTAGAAGTATGATATGTCAGAAGTTGGGGTAATATGAGTTCTAGTCCACAAAGTGAAATGTGCCCATACCATGGAGGATGAAGTTTTCACAATTAGAGGTCGTTGATGTTATTAGAGCAGTTTACAGAAATGTGAGGTCGCAGTGGGTGATGGGTGCTTGGGAAATAAGGAAGTAGAAGCAAAGGGTAGAGGCTACCTTTCTAGAAGTTTTGCAAAGTAGAGGAAATAATAATGCCTTATTATAAGTAAGGAATTTATTAGTTATTAATTGATTGATTGATTAATAACTCCTTGCTCCCATAATACTTACAGTTTTCACTTCTACCATTTCTCTGGTTATTTCTTTCTACCTCCTTCATACCATTGTCCCTTCCTACGTCTGACACACCTGGAAACATTGAATGGTGTTTATTTTGGTTGTAGATGACTTGTTTTATTTGGTGATTCTGTCTGTCTTTGGAGGATGAGCCATAGACCCCACCACCACCACCACAACTCCACCATCTGTTTTCCACAAAGAAAGAGAAGCATTCACATCTTCGGACCAGTTCAGTACTTAATAAACCAAGTACTCTGTCTCCTAGTCTTCTCCCCTTTTCTCCCCCAAACTCTGGGTGGGCAAATCTGGGAGAAGAAAGCTGCCACTCCAAACCTTCTGAGAAACAATGTCCCAGATGGGGAATCTGTTTGGTTTTTCAGTGAGCTGAGATCTCCCATTGGTCCAGCAGTCTGCCAGAGGGCACTGGAGAGTAATTAACACCGCCGTCCACCTGTGCACAGGAAGATGCCTACAGCCACACCAGTGATGATGAAACTGCCCACCAGGATAGCCAGGACCAGCGAGGTGTAGGAGCGGCCTGTTTGGCTCTCTGGAGAACATGCAGAGAATTAGTGTGAAGAACATACCCCCAAGGAATCCATGGTCTGAGTCAAAACCCAAGGAATTTCTGCCCCCAAAGGAAGGGGGCTAATTCATTAAGTGACTTAAGCTACGTGTACTCAGTCCCAAACCCCCAGCCTTGGGCCTCTTGTTTCTCAAGGCATCCAGGTCCATCCATTTGCCTGGAACCCACCCACCACACAGGCCCATCGCCGATGCTATCATACCTTTCGAACTTTTTGCGTTGTATTCCTTCACGTACTGTATACAGGTGTTCTGCAGGAAATGCTGCAGGTCGTACCGAGTCTGATTGTAGGTGTTGAGCATCTTCAGGGTGTAGGCGACCACTCCGGAGTGGGGCTGGGGCCCTGCCTCCCATGTGGCCTTCTCTGGCTGGAAACTCACAAAAGAGCTCCCGTTTACAGCCACATCAAAGAAGGCTTGGGCTTTAGAACCTTCAGGAGGCCTCTCACAGCCCAGGAAACAGCGAATGGTCAGAGGAACTGTGGATGGGGGATTCAGGGTCAAGGGGCTGTGTGGAGAAGGTGTGAGGGATGTCCATCAGGAGGAAGTGAACTTTTGGGGTTCAGGGTGGGTCTACCCCAAGACTAGGAATGGGACAAGGGCCTGATGAAAGGCCTATGATCTTGAACACCGACTCCTCTCCAGCCTCCAGCTGGTACTCAGCAATAAGCAAATACTGGTGCTTGGGCACCTCTGGGCTCCAGAGAGCCACCAACCCACACAAGGCCACCCCCCTGGGGCCACGCCCATCCACAAGACCCCCTTACAGGCTCTGCTCCACGTAGGCCCCGCCCCCATGCGCAGGCCACTCACAAGCCACACCCCGCTCCTTGTGCACCAGCTGTACAATGTTCTGGAACAGTTGCAGGTAGAGCCGTACGCTTTCTTCTGTGAGTGCCCAGCTATTGGGCTCCTGCAGGGGATGCAGCTGGAGGATCGTGATGTTGGAGTCCTGGCCTTCCAGTACGTGTGTCAGGACCCCCCCCAGCGACGCGTTGCCTCGGTGCAACACTTGATGGAGGTCTGGGAAGTAGGATATCTGGAGCATGTGGAGACTCTGCGGGCCTGGGGGGCGGAAGTCAGCACATTATTCCCCGGGGGGCGTGGGACAGGCTGGCGAAGGATGGGTCAGCATATAGCCGAGATAATAATCCCCTACCCAGAGGCTGGCCGCCCACCTTCTTGGCCCTTCATAAAGTGTCCTCCCACCCTCCCTCCCAGTTAATGTTCACAGTAATCGTGCCAGGAGAGTGGGGCAGGGATTATTATCTTCTTTTTACAAACGAGGAAACGGGCCAGAAGAGGAGAAGCCACTTGCTCCAGGGTAATCCAGGCAGTCAGTGGAACAGCCATTCTGATCTCCTTTCTCCCTCTCACCCCTTCCTTCCCCCATTTCATTTCCAGTTGGTCAGCAATTCCTGACCTGCAGTAAACATCCCAATTCTGACTCCTCAGCCAGTGCCCTCTTTCAGGCCCCGTCAGCCCTCACCTGGGCTGGGGCGGTGACCTCTTTCCTCACACCCATGCCTTCATCTTTCAGTATCACCCCTTTTAATCTGACCTCCACCTCATCCAGAAATAAGATTGTGTTCTTCTGCTTAAAATCTTCCAGGGACACATTCCCCTATCAATAATTAATCATTATAATAATAATTATTATTGTTGGGCTTATTATGACCTGGGCACTGTACTCGGCACACATTATTATGTTATTTGTGCCTTCCTCCCATTAACTTAATGCAGCCGCTGCTATTATTAACCCCAGTCCATATGGGAAACAGGCTAAAATGGTAGAGTAGAGCCAAGGTTTGAACGCAAGCAGCTGGAGTCTAGCACTTTTAGCCGCTCAGCTCTACTGACTCCCCATAGGGTGTCTGTTCACGGAATCAAGTCCCAAGTCTTTAGCACAGCATTCAAGGCTGCTGGGGACGAGGCCCCTGCCGCCTTCTCCAGCCTCTTCCCAGGACCTACATACATCAAAGTCCTTGGACTTCCCCGTGCTGCCTTTTGACTGACATGCAAATAGCATGTCAGGGTTGCTCTGCCTCCTGGCAAGCTTCTATTCACGCTCCAAGGCTCAGCTTGGTTGTTTTCTCCTTGGAGAAGTTTTCCTGATGCCTCTCCTCTTTACCCTCCCAGACACTGTGGACCTGCTCCAGGGATCCCACAGAACTGTCTGCGCACACGGGCAGCACTGGGCTCCTCTAGCCTAGAACCACATCTGCTTATCTCTGCCTCCTGCACCTTGTAACGGCCGGGCACGGAGTCGGTGCCCAGAGAATGTGTGAGGAGGGTTTGAGCCTGCGGTTGCACATCTGTGCGTGTGTGTCGTGACGTTGGCATTTGAGGAGTGCTCTGTTCCCACGGGTGTGAATAAGAACACCTGTGTGGGTAACCCTAGACAGGTTCTTAACTGCTGTGCGCCCCCGTCTCCTCTGTGAAATGGAAATAATAATATTGCATGCCTTGTAGAGATTTTGTGGGGGTTAAATGAACCCATACGTGCATTAACCATAGTGAGCGCTCACTGAATACTGGTTATTATTCACTCCTTCTCAGAGGGGGAGACTGAAGCTGTACAGATTGTAGGAGAAGGGGAAGGAGGCCACCGTGCAATGACAATGAAGGGCAAGAATTCCCCTTCTGTGTTTAAATGGAGCCTTTCAGGCAGCCGGATCTCCCAGACTTCTCCCACTGGCCACGGCTTCTCCTTCCTCCAGCTTCGCCTCACCCACTCCCCCAGGACTCCTCCACCTTCTCTGGTCTCCTTTTCTGCCTCACGTATCTCAGCCCCGGGCTTTTCCCAAGTCTTCCCTCTGTTCTCCATGTCTTCCCATTCCTTCCGTCTCTCATCTCATCTCTGGGTACCTTCCCTCCCTCCCTAGACTCATCCCCATCCACCATCACACCCTCAGCTCTCCCTCTCCAGACTTCACCCCTGTCTCTTCCCTCTCCCTGAGGCTAACTCCCTCACCACTTGTACCTGTCCCTGTCCCATCTTTCCAGTCCTGTCCTCCACCACCACTCTCCCACCCTGGCCTCCTCCATCTCCCCCTTCCCATGTGCTGAACTGTACTTTCTCACCTGGATTTAGGTCACAAGCCTGTCTCTGGGATCCTGCCTGCCCTATAGAGAGATCCAGCCAGCTACAGACACACACACCATGGGATAAGCTCTCCCCTGGTCTCGCCCACATATGCAGACAGGCTGAAGTCTCCAGCACCATCCCAAGGCAGGAGATGTGCCCCGACTCACCATCTGACGCTTCCAGGCTACAAAGGGCCCTGTTGGGCAGGAGCAGTAGAAGCAGCAGCGGCAGCAATGTTGTCAACATCCTGGGGCTGGAGTTCTTGACCCCACCTGGGCTCCTGGCTCTGGCAGGCTGGGGGCTCCCACTGACTGCAGCCTTGGGAGACAAGAAGTGAGGACTGCCCAGGAGGGGAGGGGACTGAACAGAGGAGGCTGGAAGATGGCCAGCGGGTGGCTGGAGGAAAAGGGCGTCAGGCTTATAAAGTGTTATTCCTACCCTGTCTCATTTCCTACTAGGGGGCCGGCCTCCCTGTTGCCCGCCCCGAGTCCCGCCCTGCTACACCCTCCTGCCCAGACCTGCCTGTTTCTTTTCCCTGAGCTGCTTCTGGGGAGCAGGGAGCGGCAGCCGAAAAGGGGGAACAGGGGCTCAAAGAGGATTCCTGCCCTCGATGAGTCAGAGGGTGGGGCATCTGTTTTCAGCTGAGAGCAGACTCTGGGGTGTAGGGACCAGCAGGTTACTAATGGGGAAACCGAGGCCCAGAGAGGTTCAGGGACTTGACCAAAGCTTATGCCTCATAGTTAGTGGCCACAGATCAGGGATTAGAATTCCGTTTTCTTGCATGCTGGCTACATTTTACAGCAATTTAAAGGAAATAGTAATTACACAATCAGGGAATTTTGTGCTCAGTAAGAATCACAAAATGAGTATAGAGCATCTCACCACAGCATCATTTATTTGTAATAAAAGAGAATTATGACCAATCTAAATCTCAATAGAGGACTGGTTACTTAAAGCAGTAGCTTTTAAACTGAGGTCACAATCTTATTAGTGGACGATGAAAACAATTAAAATGAATCAGAACAGAATAAAACATTTCAGTGTATCCCCGTTGGTAAAGTCAAGCATCGTTTCATGAAACATTTGTTTGGTTGTTATATGTGTGTTTTGTTTTTGTGCATATATGTTCCTGTGATGGGTTTGGATAGCATGTAATACATATTTAGTACTACAGGAAGCAAGTAGAAAAATTGGAAAGTTACTCCCCTAAAGTATGATAATCCATACTATGGAATACTATGCAGTCGTTAAAATAAAACCTCCCCCTACCCAATCTTTACTCTATTTTCATCAGATTACTTAGCATAGCCTGACATTATACTACTTATTTATTTACATGTTTATTGTCTGAATGTCCTACCAGAATGTAAATTCCACGAGGACAGAGGCTGTCCATCTTGTTAGTTATGTGTCTACGGTAGTGCGCATAGTAGGTAACATTATAACAAATATCACCTTATGGATGACTGAATGAGATAGAGATGATATACATAAGTCTCCGAGAGTAAGTTGCAGGACATTATGCTCAGTTTAGCAATTTATGTGTCAATCACACACACAAACTAAACAACCTATTTCCTTATGGGAGTAAATGAATCCGGAAGGATGCACAGCAGATACAGCAGTGGCTTACCTCCAGGGGGGAGCCTGACACTGAGTGTGAGAGAGTGTGTGCACACGCACGCACGTGTTAGGGGTGGCAATCTTGTAAAAAGCTTTTCACTCTATTTGGTGAAGGGTTTTATCACTCTCTCTGTATTTGAAAATTTTGCATCTAGAATGTGATCATGTACCTGTTTTAGAATTAAAAATAAAAGTTTAAAATAAGTTATGGTAGAAGAGAGTAGCAAGATCGTTATGAGCAGAGGTATTGATACGAGGCATTGATAAGTGAATGAATTGGGGAATGATACACTTAGTATGATTCCATCTCTTTAGTTTAAAATATTTCCCTCTGTCCAAGTACTAATTCCATTATTTTAGGCATGAACAAATTTTTTATTTTAGTTTTTCACATTTTTTATTGTTGTTCGAGTACGGTTGTCTCCATTTCTCCCCCACCACTTCCCCCCAACCCCGCCGGACCCCCGCCCCCATCCCCACTTCCCACCCGGGAGCCTGCCCCTCTTTGGCTCTGTCCATGCGTCCTTTGTGCACGTTCCTGACAACCCTCCCTTTCCCTCCATTATCCTCTCCCACCTCCCCTCCCGTTACTGTCAGTTTGCTCTTAATTTCAATGTGTCTGGTTATAGTTTGCTTGCTTTTTCGTTTGTTGATTAAGTTCCACTTGTATTTAAAAAATAACATTCTGCGTGTATCTAAGTATTTGTATACACATAGGAAAAATGCCTGGAAAGTTACTGTCAGTAGAAATCACCTCTGAGGAATGGGGTTAGAGAAAGGGCTTGGGGGACTTTAAACTTTGTATTTTTTTCTCGGAGGGAGAGTTGATGTCATAGTGGAAGGGGAGCAAACCCTGGACACACACCAGGTGCCCATTCTCCGATGGGAATGCACGTAAGAGTGTCCACGCTCACCTCTTCGTTTTTGCAAACGAGCTGAGGAATAACATCAAAGTCTTTTCCCAGCTCACCAAAATGGTCTACTTAGAAGAACGGGGGCCTGGTTTTCCTGAACTGGGACTCAAGAAAAGTGGAAGGACTTAAATCACTACCAGTTATTGCCTTGCCTTTAAAAATATTATGAAATATTTCATATTTGAAGAACTATTTCATGCTTGAAGAATTTTGTTACAAACATGCATGTCCCCAGCACGAGAAATAAAATGTTGCCAACATGATCGAAGCCCCCGGGGCAAGCCTCCCCAACTGCATCTCTCTCCCCTCTCCCACCAAAGTACTGCCCGTCATAATCTACTATTTTTCATCTCCTTACATTTCTAATACTTATACTACGTATACATACCTCTCTAAGCAATATATAGTATTTTGCATATGTGGAGCTTTCTATACATGGTACCGAAGTGCACAGATTCCTATGTAACTTGCTTTTTTCACCTGACATACTAATACAGTTCATCCATGTTGTTACATGTAGATCCATTAGCCCCACTGCTTATGTATGCCATTTTATAAATATGCCACAATTTATCTATTCTCCTGTTGTTAGACATTAAAGTTCTATCCCCCCTCCCTAGTTTCCCACTATTACAAACAATGCCAGTATGAGCATTCTTGTACATGTCTTCTTGTGCATTTGTGGCAGAATCTTTGTAGCTGCAAACTTGGGAGTGGAATAGCTGAGTCATGGGGCATCTGCATCTTTAATGTTACTGCATACTGCCCAGTTGTTTTACAGAAAGTTTGGGCCAACTTACATTCCCAGCAACGCCCGAGCATTCCCTTGCTCCAAATCCTTGCCAACTCATGGCATTGTCAGATGGTTGGGTATAAATGGCACTTTGTTTTGGTTTTGGTTTGCTTTTTATCTGGTTCCTAGTGAGTCTGTGCATCTTTCTGCTTTGCCTTTTTTCTCCCTTGAGTGCTTGAAGGGTGCTTTGGGACAGAGGGTGATAAAGTGTATGATTGAACGGATTTGGAATTGAGTGCTGTGAGTCTTTGATCTATGCAGGTAAGGCCTGGGTCCCTGCGGTTAAAGAGGGGCCACCCCATCACCCACAGCGCTACTTGCAGAGGGGTCTTTCTCATCAGCTAAGATCTGTCAAGGACGGAGGCGGCAACAGCAACCTCACACACTGTAAGTTCTCAATATGAGTTATTATTGTTCCACATCCTAAGGCAGGGGCGTCAAACTCATTTTCACTGGGGGCCACATCAGCCTCTCAGTTGCCTTCAAAAGGCCGAATGTAATTTTAGGACTGTATATATGTAACTACTCCTTAACTAGGGCAAGGAGCTCAGTGCTGCCGCTGGGTAGAAACAAGGTGCCGGGCCAGATAAAACGAGGTGGAGGGCTGGATTCAGCCTGCAGCCCTTGTGTTTGCCACCTGTGTGCTAAGGGGAACATCTCTGAAGGGACCACACTCGGTTGTTACTGAGTTGTTATTCCAAGCACCCTCCTCACACACTAGAGTCTTAAAAACCAAATAGCAAAGACAACAATTATTATTTTAGCTAACATTTATCATAGTCCAGGTCAGTGTTAAGCTCTTTACATAAATAATCCTGCTTTATCCATTTGCCAGCCCTCTGAGGTCGGTTTCATTAACATTCTCATTTTATTAATAAACACTGAGGCTCTGAGAGGGTAAGTAACTTACCTAAGGTCACACAGCGAAAGCTATCATTTGAACCCATGTGTGTCTGATGCCAAAGTTTGTAATTCTAACCCCACCACATAGTATCTCAAAAATTTGGGGGGAATCACAATCCATTAACACATTTTGGATACATACATTTGACACGCTTGAATATTTATGTTATGTATAATCTAAAGCATGCCCCAAATTCGTGCAGTTCCTCTGGGGCAGATAGCATGAGGCTCATTTTCTCCATGTTACAGATGAGATCATTAAGGTCCAGAAAGTTTAAGTAACTTGCCCAAGGGAAGTGCAGAACAGGGATTTTTAACTGAAAGAGGCCTAGTACCTCCGTTGATTATAATGTTGACCAGATACCCCAAGGTTGTGGGTTTGACCCCCACTCAGGGCGCATCCGAGAATCAGCCAATGAGTGCATAATCAACAGTGGACAACAAATTGATGTTTTTATCTCAAATAAATAAGCAAGCAAACAAACAAACAAACAAATAATGGGGTTATGGGACTGCGTACAGGGAGAATCAAGAGAGTATTGGGGGTAGGAAAGTTGGTGAGGGGCCTGCTTGAAGGGTGCTCCCTCCCTCCCTCTACACCCAGGGTTGGGGGTAAGTGAGAGAAGAGAGACAGACGCTGCACCTTGCCTGGGTGGCTGAGGGGCAGATAACCACAGAGAGGAGTGGGTCCAGGGCCAGCAGCTGAGATTTGACAGAGAGCTAAAGAATGAGGATCTGACGGAGCAAAAGGAAGTGAAGGAAGCAAGTGGTGGCATTTCTCACTCCAGAGAGCATTTGCCAGGGGAAGATAAGGGAGACAGGAAGCAGGGCAGGGCCAGTGCTGCGCAGCACCAGTGAGTGTGTGGAGGCCCTGTCAGGAGCCAGGGCTGAGCCAGGGACTGGCAGTGAGCCCAGCCGGACTTCAAGGGACTAGCCTGCTCCCTCCCCTCCTAGCTACTGAGGATGCGCAGTTTAAACCAACAGGCCCAACTCAGATAACAACAAAGTGTGGTCCCTTCATAGATCACCTCCACCTTAGGCCATGGAATAACAATAACTCATACTGAGAACTTGCAATGTGCAAGACACTGTATTAAGTAAGCAGAGTACATGTGTTTTATTCGCACTAGCGCTCTATGAAAAGTATGAAAAAACAGCCACTATTCCCATGTTACAAATGAGAGCACAGAGGCAC